GTTCGTACCATATGCTAGGAGAACCCTTTACAGCACATATAACATGATCTTGTCGATAAGGTTCCATTTTGCACAATTAGTTTCACTAGGGTAAAAAAGAGAAGGATTGTATCGACAGCTCTTTTCCAAAGACATCTTGCTTATTAGTTGAATTAGCTATTAATGACATGCTTGCATTCATTCAAGAATGCTTCACTTTCCCTCCAATCGTTCCTCAGACATCCCCTCTAAACAGAAAATAGCATATATCTGCACCTTAGAGAAGCATGGTTAGCCTCTATTGAAACTTCTTTGTTTGATGCGCTTAGAACCCCCCTTTCCTTACATGAAAAAAAATATCTAATGACCACCGTCGGAATGCGCCTCCAAATAACCTTAATATCTTTAAAAATAAATTCCTGTTATTCAGAAAATATCTGAAGTCCAACTTTAAGCAACGCATGCACCGTCTTAAATTAAGCAAATTTATTAGCACGGCCCTTTTTCCACTCATTTAATAAACTAACACTTTAAAGGGATAACTAAACTCACTCACAGCTATCTTTCTCATATCTTCCTTCAAATGAAAGCTTAGGAAATAAGCCTCTGCCACAATATCCATAACTTTCCAATCTATTTTTTCTATTCAGACCCATAACTTAGTTATTTTTTTTAGAATTCTCTAATACTTCATCTGAATTACTTTGTTCTGTTGTTGAGATACTGTCAACTTCCAATCCCTCGTCGTCGCCTATCCTAGATGAGTCAACAGGGTATATCCACCGTTGATATAGAAGGATTGCAAAGACGACATCATCCCGAAAGCACGCTAAGCGATGTAGCCATGGCATTGTTATAATGAAAGCAAAAAAATCATCAATAACAGTGTTCAGCGCCTTGTAAACGAAAGTTCTCCAAGGAAGCTGGCCAACGCTCTTTAGTTTGTAGTTGACAAAAATTTGCGGCGTCATCGCGGCGAATCCGAAAAAATAAATAAACTGGACCTGCGTATGTATGAAAAAGGAATACCAGCTTTTGTGTTCGCTGTAAACTAATGAGTAAATGCTGTATCCGATGAGAATCGGTGCCATGCAGTAAATAAGCCAACGCACAGCAGTTTCATCATGTTTTCTGGTTTTCTTATCGTAGGAACCTTGAAATTCAATTCTGTACCCAGCCACTGAGAAAGAACGAACTTTTCTCAAACTCTGGCTACCATCAGTCCCCTCAAAACTAGACGTGTGTGCCTCGTTTGCAATTGAATCTTTCACTAAAGTAATGCACTGTAGTATTTTCCAATATTCCATCAAGACACCAATTCCGGATGGAAGTAGAATACTCCACGAAGTTTCGTTACTATCGTATAAATAGAGGAAAATAACTGTTTGAAAGTAACAATTGATAACCACGGTGCGTAAAGACAACCCCTTGAAATCTTTCCTCCCACGCCAAAACTTCACATCATTGGCTAATGCCAAATATTCGAACAACATGTGCAGAACGGTTACCAATGCCGTTAGAGCAAGAAAGTATGGGTTGTTATCCAAAAAAATACTCTTGACCTCATCAGCTGCATCATCTTTGGCTAAACCCATAGTTACTTGCTGCTGCATGGACTCATCAAATTTTTCATAAACAAGTAGTTTCCATGGTGTCAAGGGTAACAATTCTACAGTAAAGTTTTGATTGGTAAGGGAATTTTCCGTCAACTTGTGCAAATGCTTTCGAAGAATCCAAAAATTATTCACGTAAAGAGCGGGACCGTATTTTCCTTCGTGATGAATAATAGGTGTATAATTAGCAATTTCTTTTGACAGAGGTGCTGAGAAATCGATTACGGGGCATAAGATGAGAACAGGTTGAAGAAAGGGAGTGTATACAAAAGGGGTCGTTCTCCCATCAGCGGTCTCGTTCTTGTCTGTCGATGCCTTACCAATTAAATTGTGCTTTTTACTCTCCTTCGAAGGAAAGTGCTTAATTAAAGAAATACTTTTGCTAAAGGAGTACCCCTTCATTGACCAAGTAATGTTAATATGTGCACTGCAATTTTTCGAATAGCACAACTCAAGTGATAGTCTACGCGTAGTTTTCAGAGCATTTTTTTGTTTGTCCATGTATTCAGGATCCAATAATACATTGATAAAGGAAATCGGATCGAAGATGTTGTCTATCGAAACAATAGTAATATTAAGCGGATCACGGAATTGTGCCAAGGGTGTTAATGCAGGAAAGCCTTTGACCACAGCATCCACCTGCGTTTCTTTTTCTTGCGGTGAGATAGATTTGGATGAGCCAGATGGTTTTAGGTTGGACATCCATAAGTTCAAAGCTATCATCACGATAAGAAAACCCAACAGCTTAAAATGCCAGGCGTCTTTTGAGGCCTCTTGCTCATTATCTTTTTTTGAGGATTTTTCCTTCATTTCCGGATACCTGAATAAATGAACAAGTAAAAAAAAGGTCCTATAAGTAAAAGTCTTCATTCCGAGAGAAAAATGTGGAATATAAGACAGCGATTCAAACCAAAATCATTATAAAAATAATTGAACCTTTACATAAGCATGGTGTTGTTTAAGGAAAAAAATGAAATGCAAGAATACATATTTTTTTTTCTTCAGAGAACAGTTCAAATTTCAACCAATTATGGATTAGTATGGAAAAGCAGCTGACGATATGAATCCCAGAAATCCACAGCGCAAAACACTAAATGGCTATCCCAAAAAGTAAGCAAGCCAGTGTTCGCCCTATTAAGGCTATGCTCCCTGGGGAGAATACTAGAGAATCGTGAAACTCGCAAAGGTTGCATTGAGGCAGGTGCGGACTTTAGACAATCCAATAGTTCAATAGGGTCGGGACTGATTTTCATAAGAAATCGAAATAGTAGCACTAGCAAGAAAAATAAAACACCATAAAAAAAACTCTGAGACATGCTCTGTATAGCCGGTGTACCTGTTTCTAGGATGTTCTTGCGCCTACGCCAGACCTCAGAAGCCGTCAGATTAGCCTCCGGACCCAGACTACGAAGATAAGACGCTTTTAAATATTTAATATCGGATCTTTCTCTCTGTGTGGAAGGTGCTGACTGCAAAGGGTCACACTCAAGGCCAATTAATCGAGCCATAGGTGGGTCTGGTATTAAGAACATACCACTTGCTGCCTGAGTTCGTTTATCAAGTAAGAAAAATGCAATATTTTCCATATCCGATGTGCAAGTAAAATCAGCAACAACAATATTTTCTCCACGATCTACCAAGTTAGAAACCATCATCCGCATCACAGAGTTATACTTGGATCTTGGTACATCCAACCAATAAGTTGGTTCTTGATCTAAGTGAGAAAGAAGTCTTATATCTGCTTCATTCAACTCCCTAGACGCCATTGCCTCATGATTTTGAGGAATGGCTTTTTGACTATCAGGGTATTTTTCTTCGAACGATTCACCTCCTTGATGCCCTTTCACTTTGGCCTGGGGAAATTCTCTGGTAAAAAAAAAGTACTGCAAAAGATACAACGTATGCGAAGCAAAAACGACTATACGATAGATGCTTGGGATGCGACAGGTAAATATGAAAATATCGTCTACTAAAAATGTGAGCTCAGTCTGAATAAACAAGGTAAGCTTCGACACCGATCCCCCTCCCGTATTCTGATAGCAGAAGGCTACTTTGCAAGTTTTATTTCTTAGATTGGAGTATAGATTAGGTGTAAATCTATCTAAGTATGCCACGACATAAAGACAACCCAAAGCTGCTCGTAATATCTCCTTCATGAAGTCGAATGAGTGCATATGAAAAGCAATATAAAGAAAGTTGACCGAAACTGGAGGAACAATCATCCAGAGAGCTTCGTAAAAAAGATCAGTATACGCAGAAAATTTGTTGCTCACCGTGGCTACTTCCCTTGACGATGACCTAAGCCCCCTCACGAGGAAAATGAATACTTTGAATAGCAATATGGTATCAAAGCCAGACCCAAGGAATATTTCATGTGATACAAATAGAATAATTGTGATCAAGTGGCAAAACGACAGCAAGGTAGGTTTCCAATCATCGCCAGGTTTTATCCCACACATGTGGGATAATAGGTTGGATATTTCTCGCGCAGCATTGGAAGACAAAGAGTACATTCGAATGAACACCAAGGAGCGTAACTGAACTAACTCATTAAGGTACTGATTGTCTAAATAAAAGCGATGCCCCTTGCGCTCAAGAAGGATCTCATAAGCCTGCTGAATCTTTTCCGTTTGTGTTCGACAATAAGTTCCGCAGTTAGGGTTAGAGTCTGGATGCCATCGTTTAATTTGCTTACGATATGCTTTGGCCACTGCGCTAGGATCGGCCCCAAACTCCAGGCCCAGAATCCTATAGTATGGTTTTAGATCAACATCAATTAAAAAAGACCATATAGGCCAAATGTAGATCAACAATATGGCAACAACTGCAGCAATTAAAAAAATTCGTGCATAAAAAAAAATACCGCCACCAGGGACATTTGAAAAGGTTTTTTTGTGTTGAATATAATCGCGAAAGCAGTGATTCATCCACAGATTTCTTGTTTTAGGGTCATCAGCCATAACCAAATTACCTGTTTTCTGTGTGTCATTATTTTTCTTCGTCAATGGAAACGCATGTCCAGCTGCCATCATCTGGTTCGCATAGAGTCTAAAATCTTCATTGTTTTCAAACGCTTTTAACGAAGCTGAACTATCCTGCATAGACTCTTTCATATAAAAAGTACAATATTGTGTTTTACAAATAATATAAATGTATATATATATTTATTTATTTATATCTTTAAAGTATTATAAAAATGAATGCAACGAAATACTATGAAAATGGAATATTCATAAACATAACTACTAATATAATAGCAAGAATCTAAATGTAAAATAAATGAAAAGATATTCAAAAAATCATCGATTATAATAAGACCAAAATGAGTGAATATAAAATATTACATCGACAAGAAGAGTGGATAAGTGGATGGTAGATATATAATAAAAAAGTATATACTAAAAACGTGGTCGTTGAGCACTTTGGAGCCCCGGTCTTGGCCTCTGGAGAGGGTCAAGACTTGAGATTTTGCTAAAAGCATCTGAAACCTCAAAAATATCAGCCCTGTCAGACGGGTTCTTTACTAACATCTTGGAACGAACAACTGCAATCAGTGGCCGAAACTCTTCTGGGCACGGTTTAGTTGAGTTTTTATATTTTTTAGGAATCGCATCAATAATGTCTAAAGGGGCCTCTTCGAAAGGTAGCTCTTTGAATACTAAAAGGTACAATACCACGCCAAAAGCCCAGATATCAACTTTGGTATCAATTTTCAGTTTTAGCCACAAGTCAAGAGTCTCGGGAGGCCTATAAAGCATTGTCATTTTTGATTCTAGCTCTCTCTCAGAAATTTCAATTTCATTTAGGTCCCGAGGAAGGTAATATGATCGCGATGAACTCCCGAAATCACATAACTTTAATACACCATTGCTCGAGAAAATAAAGTTCCCCGGCTTAATATCCCAATGCGAAACTGGTGGTGATTGAGAGTGCAGGTGAGCAATAGCATGCAGAATGTGATTCATAATTTCATACACTTCACAAAGGCTAAAATCTTGCTTAATATGGATACGATTATTGATATAATCCTGCAATGAAGGTCCATGGCAATATTCCATGCACATCCATAACTCGGGTAAATGTGTTCGCGGACGGTGAATTATTTCCGAATCATAGAGCTTTACAATATTTTTATGTGGACATAGTGATCGGTAAATAAATATTTCCTCAATAACCTGTTGCTCTTGACTAGGTTCCATTAAGGTATATCGCTTCAGTGCAACACATTCACCCGTTGCATTCTTGAAGCCCTCATAAATGAAGGCATATGCTCCTTCTTCAATAAGACTAACAGTAGAATACTTAACACCTTTTATAATAATTTCATTTATGTGATGACCCCTTCCTTTAATCAGACCTGCTGAAGACAATAAATTATACACAGGATCAGGGCATAGAGAAATACAATTGCCCATGGAAAGTCAATGCTTGTTGTAAAAAAGATGTTAAATAAAGAAAATGACTTAATAAAATGAGAGTGGAAAGGAAAAAGCCAAAATAATTTGGGGTTTGTGTTCCTTAAAAAAAAACAATTAATGAATACTAAATCAAGAAACTACATTTCTCAGATTTCAATATATTAAAAATTTTCGCTGAATTAGAAAAACTATTCAGAACAAATAATTCAAATACCACAGTATTTTTGAAATGCCTTCTTAGACCAACCCTCCTAAAACACTATTGCCTTGAGACACGGATATCACCCTAACGCGTTCCACGCTTCCAAACACACAAACAGCCACTAAGAGAAATTTTTACAATACCAGCCCTTGGCGTGAATGGAAAAAAAAAAGCAAAATAGACTCCACCAATTTTAAAATCAAAGGAGGCTTTTGACACCACGCACAGGCATCCCTGTGTCTGCAAGTCGTAATTACCTTAGAAAAAAAGTATGAAGAGCTCAACCTTTAATACAAAAAATGACAAAAAAACAGTTTGTGCATGCTGGAGGGGGGCGGGATGCCCACCATCACTCGTAATGCTCGGTGGCAATGAAGATGCCTTTCCCCCCATACCTTGGAGCACTATATCAGTGTATTGCCGTCATGGAATAGCCTACATGCGAAGTATAGTTATTTGATTTACCATATCATTTAGTATTGTCTTTTTTTGTTGACCGGCGGGGACTGAAGTTTTAACTAAATGGATCCCTGCGTGTCAATTACTGTTTTTCTCTGCTTGAATGACCCCTCTTTAGATATCTGTTTCGTGTTTTTAGGTCGAAAAAAGATATCACAGGGTGCGCGGGGGGAATGTTCCGCCAAGGTTTGTAAATTTTATCAATTTTTATGCATTAACACAACAAACTTGATTTGAAGTTTATTCAGGCGGGGGGGGGGGGGAGGGAGGAAAGGGGAAGCACTCAGAAATTACCCCGGGATAAGTATGTTTCAAAACGCAATGAGCGTGTTTGAGCTAGAAGTCTCTTTTTTTTTTTGCATTTCAAAATCAACACGGAGGGTCTTTCGACTTACTGTTGTGATAGAAATGCAGAGTGGCAGTATCACTGATTCATATCTGAGTTTGTGCACTGGTGGTATTCTCTTAGCTCTGCGCTAAGATGACGTTCTCTTTTGTAAAGCCAAGCTAAATAAATAACAGTTTTATAAGGCTTAAGAAAGACCGGAAACGATCCAGCAGAATGCCAAACTGGCATTCATGTGTTTGAAAAAAGATAAAGTTTGTCTTTGGAAGCTTTGATACTATGTATATTGAGAATGATGTATGTATGTATAAATGGGCAACTAGCATGACAATTTTATTTGATCAGCTTCCATGTTCGTCAGCTTAAAACATTAAGAAAAAATGAGGAATTAAGCAAGACTTCAGAATTTAATACCTTCAGAACAAGTAAGTCGTTTTCCTCATGGGATGAGTGCTTTGAAGCACCAGCTTGGATCGTATTTGAGTGATGAAATCCGAAAGTTAAATATCTAGTGGCCTGAAACTTCTTTGCCAAGTACTTTTTGAAAAGGAGAGTATAATTTAAAACCAAATGAATACCACAACTGTACCACTAAACAAATTGGCGTTTGAGTTTATGTTATCACAGTTATTCAGTATCAATAAGGATTTTAAACGAAAAAAAGGGTACAATCGAAGTTTTGAATACTTATGAGCTCATTCACTTTGACATCCAATGCCCATCTTTTTTCGAAAACTCAAGATCACCTTTCTTTTCTTCCTCGTTAATATGTATCCATTTTTGTAGTTATTTTCATTTGTAATGTCAACCTTACGTAGACGAAAACCCGTTTTAATTGATGGGAGTGAGACGACAACCACTCCGATCCTGAATCACATAGCGCGTGTAGACTTGTTTCCGAAGCCTAAGGAAGATTTCAAACGGTCCCAGACCTATCTTGGAGGATGCATTAGTGCGTTTACCTTTGCTGTGATTCTTCTCCTTGTTTTATGGGAGGCCTTTTCTTATATCACTGGCAGGGATGCATATTTTACCACATTAACCCTTGATGACAATGAAAATCGCGCCATGGAGATACACCTAGACATTTTGTTTCCATCTTTGCAGTGCCACCGCATTAGTGTTGATATGCTTGACATATCCGGAGTAACACGCTATAATATCGTAAAGAATCTACATAAAATACCTGTTACATCTAATGGAATTTTAGCGTACAGAGGTGAATTACCATTTACTAGCGAAGAAGGTAGTCTAAATTATGACTACCGGAATAACCCAGAATTACCTAATTCTTGTACACCATGCTTTCTAGTTGAAGATCGCTCTAAAGCTAATAGTATGGCAAGAAGTAATATGGCACTCAATACGAGCATGTGCTGTGAAACTTGTGAAGATGTTCAGAAGGCATACGAAAATGCCGGGCTTGATGCTCCATCACTCCGGGTAATACCACAATGTATTTCTGAATTATCTGCCAAGGAACCTGGCTGTAATGTTATAGGAACATTGAATATGAAGAAAATTCAAGGGATGCTTGCTTTTGTACCTACACATTCGAGCTATAGATATAACTTAAACAGTGTTCTATCTTTTAACTCTTCTCATATTATCAAAAAATTTGTTATCGGAGATAAAAATGTTCAACGTTTCTCTCGCACAGGCGTTTCGTTCCCACTGAATGGCCAGCATTACAATACTAAGGGTTTCTCTGAAGTAAAGTACTTTCTTAAGGTTATCCCAACAACCTATAATACCAAAGAAAAGCAGAACAGTAAACAAAGGACTTATGAGTACAGTGTTCATTGGACTCATAGGGAGACACCAATTAGCAGTAGATCGGTACCCGCGGTTATTTTTCAATTTGATATTTCTCCGTTCCAGATTAACAATTACTTTTTACGTCCCCCATTCATACGTTTTACGATAAAGCTTTGCGGTATTGCTGGTGGTGTGTTTGTTGTTCTGAGTATTGTTGATAGTGTAACTGATTATTTTTTCCGAAAGATTTTTAAATATTCTTGAATATCGTTAGAATAGGTATGTTTGAAAAGAAAAACACTTGTGTAGTGCCTTTATATTATTTATTATTATTAGCAACATACCCTTTTTCTATTATGTAGGTATTGCGAGTATTCTTTGAATATGTATTCAGCTCTGCTTTTTCATTTAGATTTTGCCATTGATTTACCATGACGCTTGATAGAATCGAATAGTCCTGTCTTTTTCAGTTAGTATCTCTTCGCTAACTTTAGTAACAGTAGCATTATTTCTCTTGCGTTAGGGTAGTGGAGCTATGTTTCGCTCACGTATTGTCCGCCAAGTCTCAATTCCAGCTCCTGCAACCCCAGCTGAACTGCCAGAATGGGCTATTAAAAAAAAAACTTGGCTTACAAGATATCTTTTTTGGGCATCAGGTAGGTTGCAACGCCTGGCTACGCACGTGATAAAATTTAGTGACAATTTTATGGGTATACAGCCAAAGGAAAGTCTTTATCGTATTCCACGTCTGTTGAAAGTGAATGATAAGCGACCCTCGGTGATGGATAATTGCTTTATTGCACCAAGTGCCTTTATCTCCGGAGATGTACGAGTAGGTAGGAAAAACTATATTGGGTATAATGCCATAATTCGTGCTGAAAAGGATGAAACGATCTACCTAGGGGAAAGTTGCAACATTCAGGAAAAGGCAGTGGTCACAGGTAATACTACAGTGGGCAAGTGGGTGACGATTGAGCCAATGGCGATTGTTGAGTCTGCTGACATCGCATCCTGTTCCTTTGTGGGGGCTAATGCTATTGTCATGAAAGACAGTCAAATTGAGTCAGGCTCTATGCTTTGTGCTGCTAGCGTGTTACAAGCTGGAGCTATTATTCCTTCAGGCGAAATGTGGGCTGGAAACCCTGCCGAGAAAATTGCGGATTTAACCGAAGAGGAACAGGAGCAAATTATCAAGGCAGCGAAACATATGGTCCTTTTGGCTATTGAGCATCATGACTCATTAGAATTGACTTGGGAGGAGATCGAGGGCCAAAGGGAAGCCCGTGAAGCTTGGGCGCGTGCGACGGAACGCAACCGGGAGCTTCGCGCTAAGGCCATGTACATCAAGGAGCCTCCACGCCCCAATCGTAAACAGAAGGATAACCCGCATGAAATTTCAAGTAGATCAAGAAATGCGCCTGCATTTATGGAAAGCCATATTCAGGGATATTAGTAATTGTAGAATTATATGTTTTTGTAAGTAGCATTTATATGGAGAGATCTCAGAATAAGTTTGTTTTTAGATAATTTTTGCCCTTATTATTTCGTTAGCAGGAAGTATGTTTTATTTATACATAACAATCTTGTTCATTAAAAGAAAATGTCCTAAATCATTGATACATCTTCGCAGCGATGCTTTGTGAGTTACAATAATACTTTTACCCGTTTTTCTTTTATTTACTTTACACTCCTATACTTATAGTGATAGAGTTTCTTTTGTACATGCGAACACATGACCATGTGAAAAGTTCGCATGGAACAGCTCCTTGAGCCTTGTGAGCGTATTTGTCTTGTGTGCAAGACGCAACGCTTGTTTAGGTTATCAAAGTACGGCTGTGTATTTGCGTGCCAATGTGGATCACCGATAGATTTTCAAAAGGTTTTGAAGTTATTTATTAGCCAACTGCAGATGGGGCTTCATGATATTTCATTTGTTCCTATAATTGAAGGTATTTCTACTAAAGGGACTCTTGATTTAAAGATTACTGTGATTGAGTTGGAGTGTTTGCATAGATTGGCTTCATTAACTTTTTACAACTTTACAAACAGTGATATAGAAAATGTTCTTACATCATTCTCTTTATCACTGAGGACACAGATGCTTAAAAATACGAATAATCGCTTCTCGGTTCCATTGGAGCTTCTCAGTTTCCTTATTGATGAACTTCAGGCAATTTCGTGTTACCCGTTTGGAAAGTATCTAATTAGCCAACCTTCCAGAGAGCTTGTGAGCATTATGAACAGTTCTCCAAAAGAATTACCTGACTATTCCCTCCCTGTAGATTTGCAGGCAGTGCTACATAAGCATCAAATTGAGGGTTTGGAGCAGATTCTTCGTTTTGGAGGGCGAGCGCTGCTGGCAGATGAAATGGGTGTAGGAAAGACCTTAGAAGCGCTTGCAGCTGTTTCTGTGTTAAATGCGTTTCCATTGCTGCTTGTGACTCCATCCGCATTAAAGGTTATGTGGGCTGAGGAAATTGAAAAGTACTTGCATTCTCAAGTTCAGGTTAGCGATATTCATATTATCAAAGGATCAAACGATGCATTGGGCAGTGGTCAGATCCCAAAGGTGGTGATTGTTAGTTATCACATGGTTGCAGTACTAGGGGAGCGACTAGTCCAAAGAAACTGGAAGTGTCTTGTCTGTGACGAAAGCCACTTTCTTCTTACGAATACTAATAATTCCGACGCTCATTATACTCGTCTCTTAGTGGATCTTGGGAAACAAGTTCCCTATTGTATTCTTCTGAGTGGCACTCCTGCTTTGGGAACCCCTTTTACAATGTATAATCAACTTGACATGCTACTGCCTGGTGCCTTTGGAAAAACCCGATGGCATTTTGCATTACAATTCTGTCATATGCGCTTTGATCCCTTCGTGCAAATATTAGAGTGCGTACGGCCGATCGAGTGCACCAGCTTTCTACGGGCTAAATGTATGATACGCCGCCTCAAACGTGACGTGCTTGAACTTCCACCTAAAAAGCGTATCATTCTTCGCGTAACAAGTACACTGATGCCGAACGAGAAGAATATTTTCCAGGAGCAATACTCTTTGTGCTGGAAAAGAAAACGTAAGGGTATTTTTGAGACCATCGAGTACTGTTGTCAAAAATATGAAACGCTTGTCCTCTTTGCACATCATTTAGCACTCATCGATACTTTGGCATCATTTCTTGATGACAGGCGAATTTCCTTCATTCGAATCGATGGTCGCGTAGGACCAGAGCAGAGGGGTGACCTACTTGCAGAATTCGAGGATAGAAAAGTGAAGGTTGCTGTGATTGGCATTACTGCATGCGCCACCGGCATCTCTTTGGCCTCAGCCCAATGTGCTATTTTTTGTGAGCTCCCACCAGATGCGTCGTGGATGATTCAAGCGGAGGATCGCCTCCATCGCCATGGCCAAGAGCAAGAAGTAAGCATTTATTATATTTTGGGTGTTCATTCTGAATTCGACATGACCCACTTTTCCCGTATCCTTGAAAACTACCAACGAGTACGTAAATTAGTAGATGATGAAAGTGAGCCATTTTCCATATATCACACATCGCGAATGGATTCGTCTCTACCGCACGTTGCACTCGCAGACGCTAATGGTGCGAATATAAGCTGTGGTACGACTCCATCAGTGACAACAAACCAGCCACTGCTTTTTCTTATCAGCAAAAACACGGGGCGCATTCACGTCAAAAACTCCTTTGGTGACTCTTTTTATATGACGCTCTCAATGGAGGAAGCAACAGCATGCGTTCGGAATCGAAGCCATCCAATTTGGGGCCAACTAGATCACTTCCTTCTGTCATTAGACAAACACTCCCTGTTTTATAAGCGGCAGATGATAAATAATGCAGTGTGGTGTTTTAGTGACTTTAAATTTAGGAGCTCAGTGCCTCCAACGGGAGCAGTGACTCGCTATCTTTCTTCGTTGAGGGTCGGGTGGGGCTTTTGGTGGCAGGTAAAACGGCAAGGCTTTCTTAAACACTCTTATTATTTTTCAAATTTAAAGCTTCTGGGCTCGTTTTATACGCCCTTGTGTCTAGATTGCTTTAGTCTCTTGAATATCCTAGGTAACTTCTTTCCAGGCTTGGTTATTGAGCTGGAAATGGACGTGGCAATGTTCTGTAACGGAAAGTGCAGGGAGTCATTTTTCATGAAGCGTTCCGTAGGGTCGATTCGACGGAGTGTTTCCACTGTAGACCGTGGCAAGTGTACAAATTGCCAGGTAAACTGCGAGCTACTCTGTACTTTAATGGCCAACGCTCAACGCATCGATGAGAGAGAGGAGATTCTTCAGAAACATCATCCACAGTTTGCTCTTTTTCCGCGCTTGTATCGTAACTTTGTGAAGAATCCTACCCCAGGCAATTGCTGGCACGCTGATCATATTATTCCAGTTGCTCACGGTGGAGGCCAATCAACATTGGATAACATCCAAACATTGTGTGTGATCTGTCATGCGTTGAAGACTAGTGAAGATATGAAGGCTCGCCCTTCGCAAATCCCACCGCTTAAAACACAGGCGACCGACACTACAGTATCCATTGCCCTGGAGCATCTGAACCGTATTGGGATGGGAAGGGCCTCTAGCAGGCGCTACCGTTGATTTGCGAGCAATGCTATATTCAACCAAATAAAATTAAATGAAGTATGCAAACGAGTGGTATAAAATTTACAAAAGCGGAGGAGGGGGGGGGATGCGGCGCTTTGTAATGTTCATCTCTTTACATCTTTATCATCCTTTTGTTTGTCTTCTTTCTGATATCTGGTCTTTTTTCTTATTTAAACAATTTGCTTCTTCCCATCATACATTGATCAACTGGTATACTTTTCAAAGGCAAGTGATATTTTCACTACAGCCTTCACGATGGCAGATGCAGGGAAAAAAAGTCTTCAAGTTTTTGAGTTAATTCCGAAGTACAGCACTGCCACTAATGAAGAGGTGAGCCAAGAGATTGAAATTATACTTAATACGTTTGAAAATGCAAAAGTTGTTGGCCAAAATAAGGTTCACAAAAAACTAAGAATACCAATCAATTCAGAGACACGTCCCAGGTTTCATCCTACGTTAGGTATAACAGTAGTTGAAGGTTATCCGTATGTGCCACCCAAGGTTGAGCTAATCTTTCCTTCTGGTACCTACCCCACGGATGGGGAAAGCTTCACCAAAGAAGAAGCAGCTCAATTGAAGAGGGAAATCAGCAACAACATACAGCCATGCATGTCTATAGGGATGCCCTGCATGATGCAAATTGTATCAACTGTGCTAAATTTTGTTAACACTGAGAGCACCAGGGTGGCAGATGTTGAGGATGTGAACAGCGGCACTAATTCTTCTTCGGTGGTGCCCAAGTCCCCAGCACTGACCCCTGTGCCCCTGAAAGCCAAGGATGCGCTGCGTCTTAGCTTATTGGCACTTTATCTATTACGAAAGTGTTGCTGTATGAAGGATCCTGAATCACGCGAGGAGTGGAATAGCAATTTTGAGTGGTTGTCATCTTATCTTATCGAAAAGGCCAATGTGTTTCCTCAAGCTGTGCGCGGGCTGCTGCCCTGGAGAGGCGAAGTTTTTTCGAAGGCCTTCGCCAAAGAGATACAAACTGATGAGTACGCGGTCTCTCAGTGGTCGGAACTCAAAAAATGGTTCTGGAAGAGTGAGGAGCTTCCAGTGCGAATTCAACAAGGGTCAGAGGGAAGGTACCAAAACGAATTTATTCAGCAGAAGCTTCTTGGGTCTGGTGGTTTTGCTCCGGTGTACATGTGCCGAAAAAAAATTGATGGACGCTTTTACGCCGTTAAAAAAATTGTCATGAAGGACAATCAATCGGAGAAAATTATTCGTGAGGTTCAAACGCTGGCTGCCTTGAATCACAAAAATATTGTTCGCTACTACGATGCATGGGTTGAGGATGGGTGCGATGAGGAGCTGAAAAGATTTATCGAAGACGACGACGAGGATTCGGAAAAGGAAATCATCAAGAAAAGTGTTGCCCCTGGCTGTGACGCCCGTCTCATTAGCAATTTCTCCTCATCGGAATCAAGTGATAGCTCCTTTACTGGCACTTCTTCATCAGCAGGCGACGGAAGCAGCGACACCGATGATGAGGAAAGTGACGACAACTCTATCGAAATTGGGTTTCAAGAGAGTTGCAACGATCCAAACCTTTGTCCTACCCCCGCTCGCCCCAATCCTTCCGGTCATCGACTTCAAACACTGTACATTCAAATGGAGCTGTGCTCCGCGACGTCGCTACGACATTTGATCGACGAAAGTGACAGAGGTTGTGGTATTTTTGCTTCTGAGAAAGGTGAACAAGTTGCTGCTTCGATTTTGCGGCAACTTTTAGTGGTTGTTGCTCATACACATCACGAAAATATTGTCCACCGCGATCTCAAGCCTGATAATGTGCTATTTGAAATGGAAAACAGCCAAGTTGAGGGCGAGATCGGAACCATTCGCGTAGCTGACTTTGGCCTAGCACGTGTCATGAATGGGTTAAAACAAACTGCTAGTGCTTACAAACTTGATGACATTACCGAGTTGACAGAAGCGCAGCTCAACCAGAATGCTAATTTCCCAACAGGCAATTGCGGTTCTGTGCTGTACTGTGCCCCTGAGCAAGAGAAGGGTATCAGCTACGGGTTCAAGGTAGATGAGTTCAGTATAGGTATGATTGCGTTAGAAATGTGGCTTTCAATACTGGGAAAGGGGTTTCGTGACAGGTTCAATATTATGGAGCACGCATGGCACAAAGGAACTCTTCCAGATTGGTTCATAAAGTGCAAACCTCCGATAGCCGAGGTGATTGCCAGCTTGCTGGAGCATGACCAGCAGAAGCGCCGCACTTGTGAAGAAGTATTAAGTACCGCAGAGCTCCCTGGGGACCCTGTGGATATCACCGAAGCCTTGGAAACAATCGATCGCTACGGCGAGAGATTTGCTTGCAGGGTTATTCAACGAGTTCAGAAGCTCGGTATTCAGTACCGAAAGCCTCCTCTCCAGCTACGAGCGGCAGCACAATTTTTTAGTTCCTTGGCGTGTGCTCAAGCTACACAAGCGGTCAACATGGTAGGAATCCTTCATGGTAGCATGTTCATCGGCTTTCTAGATCCGCTCATCCCGATCAATCCTAATTTAAGCGAACTTGGGGTTGAAGCTGTTACAGACAGCGCGGGTCGTTCATATTCATTCATGGCATTACCCCAATTACCCGTTGCTTCGTTTTTGGGAATGCAGGAAAGTGTGGCCATCGGGTCATTTCACTGTTTCTACCACAAAGTACGTCCGTATGCAGTTTTTACCACTCCAATGCAGCACTCTAACGCTTTTAGCGAAGCTCTTCTTGATCCTTTCCTGAGTCTGATTCATCTGATTTCGTTCATGAAGTTAACGGAGCCCATAAACATAATTATATCGCACGCGGATTGGCTCAACACGGTGTATCCTAGGCTGGGGCTTCACCAAAATCAAAATGATTTTTCTGGACTTCGAACTCCTCTTGATTCTACCGAGAAATTCGGACCTGCTATTTCACTAATCGCTGAAACTCTTAGTCACGTGGGGCTAGCCCATTCCTTTAACAGGGATGAGCTTCTTCGTAAGCTTTTATCCACCATGTATAATGTCATCCATTTTTTTGGAAAACATTTGTCTTCGCACATCTCAATCATCCTTGACCCCACGTTAGTTCCCACTGAGACATTGAATCACCACTTTTGTATTGATCGTGGTATTATTCTCGAATGTCGTACTGCTTCTGGAATAGCGTTTGCCTTTGGGTGCAGTATGGATAATTATGTTTCTAAGTGCACTGTTACGAATCCTGACATGAACGGGTATTCTATCACTGTGGATATCCACGAAATGGCGACTAATTGGAAACATTTTTGCATTCCAACGATTGAAGGAGCCTTGGATGGTGTGGCGATACGGCGCCAAGACCTATACTCGCAATCTCAGCTGGACAATGTTGTCGAGGCAGCTGTGACGTTGTGGAAGAACAACACACCTGCCTACTTGAGCATTGATAGCGATTTACATGCATTGGTGAAGAAAATGAAAGCGAAGAAGCTGCGTTGGGCTCTTTTTGATGGAAAGCGATTAGTTCCTGTGGCTTCTATTCAACAAAACAAAGCACTGAAGTACTCAGACATCTCCATTGATCAACTGTGTGATACAGTTCGATCGCTTTCTATCAAGGATAAACAGTCGCCTTCGAAGGTAAGTGCTGCTGTAACCTTTATTTCCATGAAGGAAGATCCCCGCGTTGCCGAGGAGGCCAGAGAAATACTTAACTCGATGATGGCAACTAGGTGGTCACCTCTCGTAATCATGGATATCAAATTGTCTGACATTGAGGCATGTTTCGACGAAAGAAAGCGGCCAGTTGAGTTTTCACTTGCTCAGCAAGCACTCCTTCAGTGGATAGGGGTGAATAATGGAATGCTTGGCGTAATACCTATTTATTCGTCTGAAGATGGCGAAATTACCTTTTTTGTCAATCACAAAAAATTCAAACCGGTACAGAAAAAGGAGAAAGGTAAGCGTAAAAAGAAGTAATCATTTTTCTCTTCCATACACACACATCCCACGCATGTTCTTTTTTTTCTATCTTACGGTATGAAT